CTAACTGGTGGTACGGTTGATGGTCGATCGGCTTAAAATCTTGTAGAAGCTGGATTTTGTAAGCCCACAAACCAAGATCCTCCCGCAAAATCTTTCGTTAAGTGAATGGACATGCGATGGCGTATAGACTCGTTCGGGTCTACTTCGGAACTCTGCTTCACAATAGTCATAACGTCTTTAGTGTGCAATACACGGCGTTTCTGAGGATGCGCATTCTTCACTGCAGTAAACGTGGTGTGAAACCCATCCGAACTTACTCGAACTACCTAATCTTGGGCGATCATTTCGATAGAGTATTGGACGCACCACGCGATGAGAACAGTCTGTCGATTTTAACTGTGCTTCAAAGCCATGAACGTTGCATCCGTAGTTAGTATAAAGTAATGAACATGTTAAAAAAAGCTCAATAGATTAAAAAATAAAGTAAATAAAAAAATTTCTAAACCAAATTCCTGATTTAAATGCCGACTTTAAAAATTATTTTGTAACAGAAATACGAAAACGAATAAATAAATAATATAATATTCTGCATTAACTGTATTCATTTGCACAAATTCAAATCCCAATAGTTGAAGCTGAAAATTGCCCAGTGAAATGTAATAAAATGATTTATTGTAATTAAAAAGTTAAATAATTCCTGCACAGAAATACACAGCGGAAGCGCTAAAATTTTCCAAATTTCGCTGAGAAAAAAAAAAATTTTGAGCTTTACAAGTAGATATCGCGTGACTAAAAAACCGTAGAAGCGACCGTAAACAAATAAAAATGATAAAAAAAAATAACGATGAATGAAACAACTCGCTCAACTATTGCGCTATTGCAATAAATTTTGATTTATCTTGTTTTTTTTTCTGTTGCAAATAATTGCGCTTGTCAATTAAATAATAATGAAAATTGAAATATTAAAATGTTTGTCGTCGTTCACACAAAACACACCCAGCAGAAGTGAAAAATTGGCAATGATTGAAAATTAATCAAGAGGCTGTCATAGATTGTGGCTGTTTTTTCAATCATATTTCCCAAAGGCATAAGAGTACATACATACATACATATAAATGTACTAAGCATATTCAATTCATTTTATTCTGCGTTGCAGTGGATTCCATGTCGTGAGGGGCCACTCATGCTAGAGTACATACACGTAGATATATATATAATATCTCCCTTCCGCTTTTTTGCTCTTCATTCAATGCTCTATAAAAAGGGTTACAGTGATCGGATTTAGTTAAAATATGCGCCGTTTTGTTCGATGATCTGTTTCCATCTAGACGGTTACTTCATAATACCTTCCACGTAGAAGCCCCCCTCCTTATTTGTGAAGAATTCGGACAGCCACTTTTCACAAGCCTCTTTTGAGTTCAACTTCACACCACCAAGGGCATTCGCCATGGACAGGAACAGGTGGTAATCACTTGGCGCTACGCCCGGGCTATATGGTGAATACGATAAAAACGAAGTGTGTGGTCTGGCGTTGTCCTGGTGGAACACTACACCCTTCCTGTTGGCCAATTCTGGACGCTTCTGGTCGATCGCCTGCTTCAAGCGGTCCAGTTGTTCGCAGTAGACGGTAGAATTCCCATCTAATCCCACCAAACACACAGCAAAACCTTCCTGGCCGTCAAACCCGGCTTGGCCACTGTTTGGGACGATTCACCGGCCTCCGACCACGACCGTTTTCGCTTGATATTGTCGTATGTGATCCATTTTTCGTGGCCAGTTACCATCCGTTTCAAGAATGGGTCGAGTTCGTTCCGTTTCAGCAGCATATCGCAGGCGTTGATTTGGTCCAGAAGGTTTTTTTGCGTCAAATTATGCGGCACCCAAACATCATCAAAATGGTTTGGTGACTAACTCCCATCTCCTCGGCGATGTCACGAGATGCCATATGCCGGTCTAACTAGATGTATTCCATGATTTGATCGGTATTTGTCGTCACAGGTCTTCCGCCGGCTGGCTTATCCATGGTGTCGTTTTCACCGGCTCTGAATCGTCGAAACCATTCCTCCGCGGTTCGAAGTGATAGAGTACCATCCCCCAAAACACCATTAATCTTACGGAACGTTTCTCTAGCGGATTTGCCTTTAACGAAGGAAAACTTTAAAATAGCGCGAATTTCGACGTTAGTGAACTTCATGTTTACACGTCTATAACTGTTGAACGCAATATCCATGCAGTACCATGCAGAGCGTTGTTTTTTAGGTTATGTCAAGACCTTTCGAATTATGTATAGTGTTGCCAGATACGAGCTCTGTAGCGCTTTATACATAGCCGCGAAATTCAAAAGACAAAAAAGCGGAAGGGAGATATTTGACAACCTCTTATATATATAATATAAATATATATTACTACTAGTGTCTAAGCGGGTGGAGTAGAATGTATTCAAGCGAGCGAATGGACTCCTTGCAAAAATTATCGTTTCCATAAGAGACATCTGACGCGGACGCCAATAGCAGACGGCTCACGGGAGCAGGGATGGTAACAAACTATAAAATAAATAAAAATAATAATAATAAAACTTTAGGCGTATAATTTTGCTGATCATTTGAGAATCGCATCGCTTTAAGTTACCAAGCAAAGATTTACTTGTTTTCCGCGGCAGCTTACTGAGTTTAGCATTTAAAAATTATTCTAAGAAGATATTGATTTTTTTTTAATAGTTGTTGTTTTACGATACATATTGCTCTAATAAAAACTAATCCATTATTTTTTTCATTAAATTTAAAACTTTATTTGCCAAACTTCAAACTACGAAAGGCGTCTGATAAGGTCGTTGCCTAAGGTACCCAAAGCAACAAATGTTTCGTTTTATGTCCTTTTATTTTTCAACACAGTCCTCCTCAAATGAAATACACTTTTCTATCGCCTTCATATCACTGAAAAAGTATTCCTTAGATTACTCTTCAAAATGGTTTTCTACGGCCGCCGTCTGCAAGTCCTCGACCCGTAACTCCTTTCTTAAAATTGAAAAAGAAAAACTCACTGGGAGCTAGGTCCGGAATATTGGGTGGATTGTAAATTTCTGTAGCTTTTAAAGCACCTCTACCGAGCCGACCGTGGTGTGAGTGCCTTGTCTTGAAGAAACAGCACTCCCTGCGTATGCCACGTCTCTTCTGTACGACTAACTCACGCATCTTGCTCAACAAATCAGCGTAATACCGACCGTTAATTGTAGTTCCCTTCGGCAATAATATTCCCTAGCTATCTTCAACGCCGACTTTTCCACTTTGATTTTTTTTGGTGACCTTTCCCCTTTTTTATTTATTGCATCAACTCCCGTTTAGACTCGAGATCGTACTGAAGAATTTAAGTTTCATCCACTGTTACAACGCGTTTGCAAATTATATCAAAATCATCTTGGCAGAAATCCAAAAAATCTTTACAACTCTCCAATCGTCGCTGCTTGTCAAGCGGCTGGAGTGTTTGGGATACCCAACCCGTTCTAATTTTTTTCATATTCAAATGTCAAAGCAGCTTCAGCTCGTTCCTTGCTAATCTATAATCCTTCTGCTAAAAGGGTTAACAAAAGTCGGTAAGTTGATAAGAGAAGAAAAAACCAAAATTTTCATTTGTATTCATTCGTAATCTCTGTCTTTTTCATCTTCTCTACATAATCGCCATTGATTTCGTGTATCTCAGTTGATTACTTCGTACTCACTATACAGCCATAGCTTTCAAGCTCAATTCACTAATAACCATTTCTAGTGTCAATCGTGCGTCTTCGTCAGTTTTGGACTTCACCAGATCACAGTGACGTCATTAGTGGAAGATTTTGGTCTACCTTTTCGGGGCTCGTCCTCTACGGAAAACATGTCCGGTCTGGAATCTTCGGCTATCATTATTGACTGTAAATTACGCCGACCTAACCTCAGGTAACTAGCCTTTTCCCATCTCCATTTCAGCCGATTGTACTAAATTTCGATTTAACAAAAACAAATTAAAAGTCACCAACTGACGACTTTTGTTACCCCCTTATCTGCCACAATTTAATACTGCGTTTAGCCAGGACTAATTTTTCGACTTTCTAAAGGATTGTCACTATTCGCTCGGGCGGATGTCACCTTCACAGGTCTCTCTTTTTTTTTGTTGTTATATGAAGAGGCACAGTTTGTTTATCGGGTCTTTACATCAGAAGGACCTGGATTTTTATCAAAGGACTTCCGTTTACAAACTGTTATTGCTTGTTCCAGGAACGACATGTTAATGAACCTAATAAATTTTTTTTTTGTTATTTATTCTAATAATGCGTCCCACATTAAAAGTTATCAGTAAGGAGATGTTGTGCCATCTCTAACTACCATAGGACGCGAGCTCATCAGCCGCACCTCGTATGTCGAATATGCACCGTTTTGCTTAACAATGTTTTTTGGCATCTTGGGCAACAAAGCCTTCTTGACCATCAATCCTGGCTTGGAAATCGTTTGTGCCGGCTCACAGCCCTTCACTTTTCCACTTTTCATCACACGGCTTCAGAAATGGGTCGATTTTGTTCCTATTCAGCGGCAGGTTCCGGATCGAAATTCGGTTGAGGTTGTTTTTCCTCGTTAAAACATGTGGCGCCAATACGTCAGCTTTTTTCAATTTTCTTCAGGTGGTTTTGCCATACTTAGCTCTTCAGCAATCGAATAAATGTCCGAATGAAATTTTCGACAATTTGTCTTCCACGCCGCGGATCACCTTTTATATCAAAATTACCGGAACGAAATCGACGAGTTCAAAATTATGCAAGATTGACCTGCTCAGTAACAGAACATTTTCAGCAATAGAATTCAGTTCTCTGATGTCCATCTTGTTTGATCCTCCGCCGCCTAGCGTAATTAAATCGCACCCAATGACATCTATTGAAAAAATGGATTACTTTTTACTAGACCAGTATTCAAAATCTACTCACAATGGCTTATTATTTAAAAAAAAATATAAAAACACATAAGTCTATATTGAATTTTTATTCATTTATCGCTTGATATAAATTTAAAGTATTCTCATTTCTCTTCTATTTACAGTTTTGTACTCCAACTGAGCTTTCAAGTATCTCTAAACGGCTGAAAATACGTGGCTATGTAAATATGTATGATATGTAAAAATAGAATACAAACAGTATATACAATCTCTTTATATATAAATATTATGTACATTTTATCTTCTTATCATCCATCAAAAAGTTTCACAATGATAAGAGAGCACTTAAATGAAATCCTCACGGCTGCCACGAAAGCTCCTCAAAACTTGAAACTAAACTGCATAAATGTATTAAAACTATTAAAAAAACATTTTACAGCTAACTAGATAATTTAAAAAATGAAAAAAGTAACAATAAAAATAAAAAAAAAATAAAAAACAGAGAAAAAAGCACTGAAAACACCACAGGGAAGCTTTAAAGCGAGCTTCCTAAGCCGTTAAAGATATTAGTGCCACATGTAGGTTGTGGATGATCACAACGATTAGTTGATTATGCTTAATTAAATATACATACAACTACCCAAGAGTGGAGCATAATGCATACATTAGGGTGTGTATTATCTTAAAACTATTTTCTCTTATTTTCATTGTTGTTTTGTTGATCTAAATCTCCCCAGAAAGCTTGTATGGAGGGTTCTATGAAGAAATCAGTGGGAAAAATTGTTTTTGGCAAACATCCAAAGAAGAGATAAGTGTTGTGCGAGGATTTATTGCATCAAAAATATCTTAATTGCGTTGGTATTAATCGGACTCTCAAGACGTGGTTCAAGATACTCGTCTGGCCTGGGTTCCCAAAATGGAAAGGGGTTAACTGATTCTAGTTAATAAAAGACGTTTAAATTGTTCGCATATAGTGCCTTTAAAAAGTATTTATTTATGGACTTATATAGGCTCTACACCTAGCAGGCATAGCTGCTTGGTGCCAAGTGGAAACACCAAAAATACTCAGTTCCTTCTTCGACTGTTCCTCAGCGGAGTCCTCCTTTTCTACTGCATCCACTGTACCCGTCGAAGTCTGCAGAATATTTTCAAAGGTGGAGTGCTCTCATTCATATGGACAACATTACCCACCCAGCGCCACCGCTGTTTCTCGATTTGCTGAACTTTGTTAATGTCATCGTATATCTCTTTCAGCTCACCCGTCCATTGACAGTTACCAACTCGTGGAAGACCCAAAATGTTAAGTTTCTCTCGACAAGTCCTTACGCCGACTTATTCATACTCCCGCATTATTTAGCGGAACGGGAAGGATGAACAGCTTGCAGAGTTTGGTCTTTGTTCGTCGAGAGGGTATTTTTTTTTTCAATTGCTTACTCAGTCCAAAGTATCACCTGTTAGTAAGAGTGATTCTGTGTTGGATATCCCGGCTGACCTTATTGTTGGTGTCAATGCGGGTGCCAAGATAGTCGAAGTTATCTACGACCTCAAGGTAATGACAGTCAATAGAGACGTGGGCACCAAACCAAACCCACGCGCATTGCACCCTTAACCAGGCTGGACAATGCAGAACTCACTCTGCTGTTCGTTTCATATTCTCCAGCAACAAATATAACAAATAACACTATAATAAATAACTTTGTTTCTCGGGGAGGTCCGATACTGATGGAGCATTTAGTCTTACTCTAGATAGACAGAGCTTTTTACTATATTGTAGAAGGCAGTTTTAAATTCAACAAATAGGTGTTGTATATCGAGCTTTTTTCTCGGGTACGGGTACATTCCCAGGTGGAGCCAATGATGGTCTTATCAGGTTCAAGGCCGCAATGATAAGGTTTTGTTGACGGTGCGCTTTAGTCTTTCTTGCAGGGGATCTTTATATACAATATATAGGAGATTTCCTCTACGGTATATGGCGCAGGCTACCACCTTTTTTTGGATCGCTTTGTCGGCACGTAGGTTCTAGTCGTCGGGCATATTTCAACACTAATGCATGGGTCCTGGGTGATTTGTTGTTTTTTCATTCAGGCGATTGCGATTCGAACCTTATAAAAAAATCAGGCCATAAACCATCTATATGATCGTCTTTGATTGAGAAATCCATTTCGCCATCTCTTGCTGACGCACTTTGGATGAGCACAGCGGGCTGGAGAAGTGTTCATAAATTCAGTAAACTTTGGGAATAAGTCATTGGGGAAAGCAAGCAATGACTCATAGCAAGCCACATGTCAAAAATAATACCCTTTTCTTATTTTGACAGCAAAAACTACCCAGGTTAGTCACAGGCACGGTTGCACTAAAATGTTAAAATATTAAAATATTTCACGAAAGTTCTGCCAGTCTCAGCATTTCTACATTTTGTTGTTTTTTATATTTGTTTTATTTATTTATATTTTTGCGAAAATCTTTGTACGCAAGTGTTTATACACGTATATAATACAAATTTTAAAATCTAACGCGACATCTCGCTTGGGTTAAAGTGCAAACGTTTCAGCACACATCCGTCTTCATCAGCTGCCAAATCTGCGCAAGTGGGTGAGCAGAAATCTCAGACGAAAGCTTATATAAAATTCGTATACTTTTTGGTACAAAAAATATTTTTGGGGTTAACGTTATTGTAGAAAGAGAAGAGCAGCAAGTTAAAATGGAATATTTTGTATTTAATCTTATGTGCAAAAATATGTATGTAGTAGAAAAAATTCGTTTATTTTTGTAAACGATTTTGATTTTATTTTTTTTTCTTTCGGATTTTCAGTTTGTAAGTTTTTGTAATTTTTTAACATTTTTTCCACACTCCAGCCAATTGAGTGGCTTTGAAGTTTTACAGCTTAATGCTATTAGACGTTAAAAAATTAATGCCAATCAGCAGCAGCAGCAGGATGGCGTGCATAATAACCACTTATTGGTGGCATGCATGTATTAACTCTCTCACACACACACCCACACACAAGCGCTCATATTCTTTTCAGACATGCACAGCGAGCTAAGTCAACGACGAATGAAAATTGTATGCATAACATGCTGGCTTGGATAGGTGTTGAGTGTTAACGGCTACGTATGTTGTTGTAATTTAGTAAAATGTATAATCTGTAAAAAACATACATACAGCGTTTTTTACTTACATATATGTATGTACATAAGTATATTTCTGTTTTAAAGTAAAACTCCCTTTGGGATACCATGACGTATACGTAACCTCATACTGCCAGTGCAGTATGGCTAGAGCAAGTGAGACGCAAAGCCAACGGCAAACAGCAGCTAAACGATGTCAACGCTCGCTGTAGATTCGTTTACACTCTCGCGCACATATCTTACAGTTACAATAGCCTTACACATGCACACATATACATCCATATATGATATATATATATATAAGTAGTCACTTATGGATATCCCTTTATTTCGAATTTAGCATTGAAAGCTTGTCAAACACTCACTTATGCACATGTATGCACCTACATATACATGTTTCGTTTGAGGATTGGCATAAAGTTCCGCCATACGATACCGCATTGAGTTGAGTAAAATTGGTGTTCGTTGAGCGCTGAAGATTTGGCGTCGCTTATGCTCGAATTGATTTAGCCCTGCAGCCATTGAAAGTAAAAACTTTTTTTTCCACCTTTCGCTTTTCATTGCTTTTCACTCATTTGACTCACACTTTGACGCTTTTCTGTTTATATTTATATATATATGTATGTATATATATTATATTATATTTACTTTTTCCTTTTTTTTGCATATATAAAATGTCTTCAATGAGTGATTGTGTGCCAAATGGGGGTTAAGCGAGTTTGGGCTTAAGTCTTTAATAATGCATTTGATTATTTTTTAAGCAATTTCGCAAATTAACAAATGCTGTAATACTAATTATAAGCCACTCAGCCTTCGCATTGTCCTTTAAGCATATAAATATGTATTTTTTCTCTTTTGGGATAATCTTATTACTTAAAGGCTTTCTAGTTATTGGTTGTAGTCAGGCCGAGGTAAATGATGTGTAGCTATCATAGGTTATTTAAAAAAGCCTTACACTCACTTCAGGCATGAAAGGGTCTGGTCAAGGTAGATTTCGGGCACATCACTCTCCCTTTGTAATGTTTCTTTGAGTTAGTTGCTCATCGCACGTGCTAACTTAACATGGAAAAGATTAAATTGTTTCAATCTGTTCGGATTAATGTGGCCGGCATGGCATAAAAGAAGCTCTAAAGAGCTTGTGACTATAAAAAGGGAAGAAAATGTTTATAATTATAGGCCTCTTGGGACATTTTCTACTAGGCAAACGTTGTAGAGAGAGCGCAGAGCCTGAAAAAGGTGCTAGGGACTCCAATCGTAAGATGTATGCAGGAATAGTTACGTCGTTGAGTAGTTGATGAGACTTAACAATTTCAAGTGGTATTACAATGTGCTTGATCAACCTCAACCAAACTCTCAATATTAAGTTCTTTTTGAATTATCTCAGCATCTTTGTCATGTCCTTGTTTCCATCATACTTCAATGAAGTATTATAGAGCTCATAAAACTCTGAGTCAAGGTCGACTAGTGAACATATTAAGGCCTCCAAATTTTGGCATTCCCTTAAGTTTTAAGTTCTCCTCCTTTGTCCTCCTTGTCCTTTTTAAGAAACTTCTCTAAGCAGATGGTCTTATGATTTACTTCGCTTTAGAATGTCTTTCAGAAGAGTTTCGAAAGGAATACTTCCTTCGATCAACCTTTTATAACACTTCTGGCAAATTTCTCTCATTTTAGTAGCAACAGAACTGGTTCTTTTCTACACTTACCTACCGGCGAACAACTATAGCCGAAGTAGTTTGACAGCGTTTTCGGAGCTGTTGTTTGCATCACCCTCTGTCAATGGAACTAACTCCAGAGGTTAACTCACGTTGCTGGCTGCGTATCTGAAGATTTCTGCTTACCGAATATCCGGAGCATTTTCATTCTCTTGTCCGAGACATCCACAAATTAAGTTACAGTGGTATTTGTAGAGCCAGCAATCGAGTTACAATTTACCTCGGCTTTTCGCAATGAGACTGAAGCTTTTTGAGGGCTTTTACTGTGGCTACTTCTCCACCAAAGCTGGCAACTCGAGCTGAGCGTCTATACCCAGGCTTTCAGCAGGCTATAGATTAAATGCCCATACTTCGCCGCCTAGTCATCCGTAGGCCACAGGTCACACGC